GCCAAAGTCTTGACAGGAGTGGCCCAGTGAGGGGGAAATTAAACAAGTCCCTTTTCACAGGCGGGGTGGTGGACAGGGAGGCCGCTGCGGACACGTCCTTAGTTTGAATCACACCTTTCCTGTCCTGGAGGAGGGCGAAGGAGCTTTAATGTCTTGTCTGTCTTCGTGGATTTGAAGTTTTGTCTGTTTACTCCTACAATCTCTGATTCTGTTTGGACTCTAGCGTTTCAGGACTGAACTTGATTTTTGATTTGTTTATAGACACCTACCAGATAAGATTTGCTCCATTTAAGGTGGTAGGCAGTGTTGCTATTGTTTCTATCCTGAACGTCCATTAAGACTGCTACAATGCTCAAAACCTCACCTAGAAAAATAAATGCATGAGTACACACTAGTACTCTGCTTCGAGGAATTTCAACAAGCAGTAAAATCAGATTAGGCCGTAACACATTAAAAATACTTTAGCCAAGTAGAAATTTTGTGTCCGCTATACTTCACTGGATTATTTTAATTATAAGCCGATTTTTACTTCTACTCCATCAAAGACCATAAAACCCTACCATTCATTTTCAATTTGCATTTAACTCATTCACTGCTAATGACGACTAAAGTCGTCATTTTAAATCCAACCGTTCACTGCATGTTTTTAATGTGTGGGCGTCGGAACAAGCCCCCGCACCGTGATAAAAAACATCTCAGCTCTAAAGCCGATCTTCATCCACGTACGTCACACGTCACGTGATCAGGAAGCAGAAAATCCACGTGTTCGTTTTGCGCCGCTGCTGTAAAAAACAGTGAGGCGAGAATCGGAAAAGCTTCTTCTGATCACAATTCAACAACGGATTATGAAAGAACGGATAATGCTCAAAACATGGGGATTCTTCCTGCTGGAAGAGGTGAGTCTACTCTTTGTTTGGTTGTTTTGGTGTTGACATCATGCTAGCGCGCAACATTCTGTGACTCTTAAAACAAACAGTAAAAACGGTGAGAAAAGCTGGCAGTGAAGGGCTTTACCGATCAGGAAACGGCTGGCAGCGAATGAGTTAAGCAGCTGAAACCGGTAGCCTCTTGTCCAAATTTGTCAGCATAAATTTTTTTTTTGTAGAACATTATAATCATTATGGTCTTAAGTAACGTCATATTAACATTCAAGGACTCGCCCGTCTTGGCTTGCAACGGTAAAGGATGTTGTTGATTTAACGTCCCGGAAACAGCAGAAAAGTTCTCTGCTAGTGTAAGCTATCTGTTAGCATTAGCAGCTCCACCAGAGGGCAGAACTCTTTAGTGTTTTTTTATTTAATTTTAGGAGACAAAAACATAAACGGTGCAGAACAAACAGACAATGGTAGAGTCGTGTTGCTGTTAGCCAATCAGAGGCCAGATGTCCAAATATCAGGAAATGAGAGTCCATTTGCTGTCGTCTGAAGCCCAATTCTGCTCTGGCTAGCTTCCAGCTCCGGAAAGAGGAGCACAAAATACTTTTTTCCATAGAGATTGACTCATAAGGCATTCAACTATACTAGACACCACTGCAAATGTAATGAAAAAGAAGTGAACTTGGTCTTTGAGGGGATTTTTCTATTACATAAATTGTATTTTAAGTAGTTTTGAAATCAGTGCTCTTCACTTTTATTCAGTAAAAAGCTTGAATTGATACTTCAACTAATACAGAAGTCTTTTAAAACCCTAGTATTATTGCTTCTAGGTAATTGTTGTGAACTTTTAACACCTCTGCAAGTCCCATCCTTTATTTGCAAATCCAATTTAGGTTTGTAAAGTGTGTTTTGCGCTAGATTTACCACTTTAGTTTGTTGGTATTTCTCAAGCTTCTTTTTCAAATACCAACAACTCAATATTACACTGAAGTGTATGTGTGAAGTGAATAACGAGCCAGTCGTGGTGTTTTACTTACTTTAAAGCTGCTGTCCAGAGTTTTCCCCTTTCAGTAATTAGGTAATAATTTTTCTGTGATATAATGAAGGAAATACTTTTTTCCTAAGCCCCCTGTCCCATACAGCTCAATGCAATATGAACTGAGTGCAGGTCAGCACTAACCAATAGCATTAGACTGCCTCTAAAGTACAGACATTAATCACAGAGCATGCTTGAACGTTTGAGGATGCACCTCAGCTGATGCAGAGTTTCAACCTTTCTCATGGACAAGTAAGTCTTTAAAATATAAATATATCAAAACACAACATAATGTGGGCATAATATGTGTAAAATGATGTGTTTTAGCTGTTTTATCAGCTAGAGGAGCACATTCATGAGCAAGAGGCGTTGACCAGTCTCCAGGGGCGCCTCCAGAATATTTTTGATAAAGCTTGGTTTATGCTTGACGCATTCACTTTCCGCGCTGTGATGTGGCTCGCGGATGGAACGCGCATCACAACTCAGTGTTTATGGTTCGTGCGGCTTGTCTCTGCGGTGAGACAATATTCTCCCAAACTGTAGGGGGCAGCATGGAGCTCTACGGCAAGCATCCAACACTACACCATAGTAGAAGTAGAAATTACTGTTTACAACATGGCATTCCAGCATTTTTAACAGCGTTCTCGTCTTTTCCGACAGTGTGAGCTATTTCTCTCCAAGAATTATTAACAACATGTTGATCATGGTGATCTTTGAGAGCTGAATCATACAAATGTCTGTATTTACGAACCTCTGCCGTACTAGTTCTTGCCGGTCCGGCATGTTTTTCCGCGTCCGTCCATCCGTCCGCGTGGTTAGAAATTTTCCGAGGTGCGCGTTGCGGAAATTCTGGGCCGTGTGGAGGCGCGGTGGAGGGGCGTGGTTGTTAAAATGACGCAACTTTTCCGCGCGGAGCCGTGCGGATGCGTCAAGCATAAACCAACCTTAAGGGTGGCCAGACGGGGCCAAAAACTTTTTTGGGGTGGCACAACAAATTGGTCCTTGTGGTGACTCTTGGAGATTTTAGCCTGTGGTGATGCACTGCATTACAGCTTCATTCATTTTCTTTCTTTTTTTTTCAAAATTTGTATCCAAAACATTTACGTCAATTTTTACAAACAAACATTTCAGGAAGATACATTAAAGTTATTTCAAAGAGAAATGCATGGTGCCTACAGTGAAACATGGTGGTGGCGTTGTCATTATGTGGGACTGCATGAGTGCTGCTGGTGTTGGGGAGCTGCATTTCAATGATATCATGACAATGTACTGATCTATACTGAAGGAGAAGATGCTTCCATTACTATATGCACTTGGTTGATGATCTAAAAGACATCTAAAGCTACTGTTGCATTTCTGAAGAAGAACAGGGTGAAGGTGACTGAAGTATGTCTCCTGATCTGAACCCAATGGAACACCTGTGGGGAATTCTGAAGCAGCAAATTGAGCATCACTCTCCATCCAGCATCCAGGCACTAAAAGAGGTTCTCCTAGAAGAATGGAAATGGATAGATGTTGCAATATGTCGCCAACTTGTTAATTCCATGCCTAGAAGATTTGGTGCTGTCCTTGAAAACCACAGTGGTCATACAAAATACTAGATGTAGTAGTTTCTGTTGTGGGATGTATTCCTTTTTGCTTTTTGTTTTAGCAAAACTGAAGATTTTGTAATCTAAGTTATATTATTATTAATCTCGTGTTATGGTGTTTAAACACGCGTTAAATAAAACCAGCTTTGTGAAAATTCTGGAAAATGTTCTTTTGTTCATTGAGCTACTGATTAAATTAGCACTTTTTAAACAAGGGTGTACTCATTTATGCTGAACACTGTATGTGTGATTCAGGGCTTAAGGCAAAAGGGACCAGAATATAACTTTTATTGACTTGCATTCTTTTTTTTTTTTGGGTCAGGATGTCTATGAGTCAAACGAAAGGGGAGGAGAATTAATCTCCCTACAGAGGAATGCACTAATCCACTTAAAGAGATAGAGGTCTTAGAAACATAGACATGTGCAGATGTGATACATCTGACTTTAAAGGGTTAATATTATAATTATTATAATATTAATAACACTTCATTAAATTTGTCAGCATTCGATCAAAACGTGTAATAAGGGCTTTATATTTATAATCAAGCATTTTCATAGAGTTCAAGCACCTATAAGAATTCTGTTTTGTAAAAAATTAAGTGGTCTAGTTTATAAGTCTTAAATCTACATTTTGCTTCTCTTTATTACAGTTCCTGGACATTTGAAATATGAATATTACCAGATTAATTTAATGAGTTTAGTCCTGAAGGACTTGGGAAGAAAAATACATGATGTGACTTAAAAATATTTTTTGTACATGCCCCTGCCCCAACAAACCAAACTGTCAAATAAGGAGAAATTTGAGCCTGAAATGAGTCAAAGTGCCCCCTGGTGGCTGGCTGCAATACCATTTTAAGCCACACCTCCTCCTTGTAAACAAATGAGACTTTTCCTCTAATTTGATAATAAATTTACTATCGTATGTTTAGTTGGAGTTATTTGTTTACTTCTTTTAAAAGGTGAGTCACAGACTCGCCCCTGCTGTCTATTTTTATTGGCCAGTAAAATGTTGTTTATGTTGTTTATGTGCTTAGCAGACGCTTTTACCCAAAGCGACTTACAATTTTTATTTATTTTAACCTATAGGGCATGTTGTGATATTTACCACAATTTGTGTGTGATGGTAGAAGACTGCATGGGCCTGAATATGGATGAAACACTTACAGCAAATAATGGGGACTTCAAAAGAACGCAGAAGAGACGAGTTAGGGAGAACAAGAGCAGATCTTTCGATGAGCTCTTCAAAATAAAAGCTCATTCAAGAATATGTGGTAGTTGTAAAACTGATCGGAGACTGGAATAAATATCACCAAATAAAAACATGCTGATTTTTTGCTAAACGTATTCATATAGTAAGAAAACGCTCTAAAATGTGTTTATTTTGCGCCAAATGTATATTCTGTTTAGGTACGGCTTTTATTTTGAAGTGAAAACGGCTTCATGTCCGGGTTTGTGTGCGTTAACCTGACATTAAGACCGCGGCACGCTGACAGAGCGAGATGTGGAGAGAGAGAGACCCTATCTGATGTGTATTTTTTTTTTTGCTTCCTGCACTTCACTTTGGAAATTTGCGCTCGTGTGGTCGCGCTCCCAGCTGCGCTCACCTGCCGGCGCCGTGAGCTGCTGGATCATAACACTAATTCTTTCATTTTTATTATCTTTTCACCGGGATTGTTACCCTCCTTTTAGTCTCAGTCATGATTTGCATCATTTTCCTATTTCCTGTCATGTGAAAGTGACCGGCTGTAGGTGTTTTTACGCTCGAATTTGCGCCAATATGTAATATTTTTCCTCTTCAGAAGTGGACTATTTTCCAACTGGATTTTCTTCTTCATTTATTTTTTAAAACAGTTTGTGCTTTAGTTTGAGGACCAGAACAGACTGAATCAGTGATGCTCTGGGACTATCAGAACTGAAGGAGCGGATTCTGTCGTTTAGAAGCTGCTTTTTGGTAAGTTGGATTCATCATTTCTCTCCCTCACTCTCTTTTGCGTAACCAAAGTTGGACATGTGTGTCCCCTAACCTGTCCAAACCAGTTTGACACTGACCCTGCTTCATGTGCACTGATTTGCATCGTGCATAAACAGACCCATTGATGTGCCGCACTTAAAGACGCAGAAACATCGCTTACGCATGAGTCTCTATTGCTATTTTTTTCCCTTTTGTTGCGGATAAAACATCCAAAAGCTGCAGTATGACGGTTCAGGTGGTCTAGAGAAGAATGTAATCGCTTTCCAGTCTGAACAACTAAAGACACAATCAAATGTGGATTCTTTCTGCACGTGAAGCGTTTTTACGCATCGTTTCCTCTCCGCTGTGTATCATTGTGTGCGTTTTGGAAGCAGCTCCTGTGCGTCAGTAGTGTAAGCGTGATGATTCTTGCGCACTGTGGAGGAAGGAGGAGAGAAAGAGGGGGTAAAAAATATTTCTGCAGAGTGATCACCAGGCCTGCTCAGGATTTCGTTCATGGATGGATGGAGGCTGTTGATGGTCCTTGTGGATGCTGGAGTCCGATCAGAAATATAGTAACCAGTCCACGGCACTAAACTTGGAGGATGAGGAGCAGCAAATTCAGACAAGATTGTTTGAAGTTCTCCTTCGGGTCTGAGCAGAAATCTACATGATTTTTAAAATTATTTTGGGTGATTCTCTGCTGGGGCATTAGCCTCTTGCATCGCGATTATCATGACAAAATTGATCACATAACAATATGATTGGAATGTTTAAAAACATTAAAGTACAACTGCCAACATTTGGGTCCAGTCGTGATTTTTACTGAAATGAGGTCAATAAACTACAGACTCACCAGTGTAACCCCGCAATCCGCGGCCTGTGGGCCACGTCCGGCCAGCGAGCCCTCTCTTTGTGGCCCCCAAACCCCACGCGCACCCCCACCCCTGACTGCCGACCGGGAGGTTTAGGATAGAGCTGAGGAAAATGATCAAATCATCGATGCATGAGATGCGGGCATAAACAATTCCGCATCATAGAACAGTACCATAATCAATTATAGAGGAATGTGGTTTTGTTATTTTAACGGCGGCAATCAGCGTATATCCACATCTGTCAGTGTGGTGTTCTCCACATTTACCGGGTAGGAAACTTTAGTCTGCCTTTATGTGGTCCTGCAGGGCTGCGCGCTGGAGTTATAACCTGATACCGAACCCGAACCGAATCAGCCCGATCGGTTCTGTTGGATTTGGGCCGTAAATTATGTTAATTGAGCGGGTTGTCGCGCGG